GCAACGCCGCGCTTCTCCTGCAAGAACAACTCCACATCAGCGCTGCACAGAACAGCATCACTCAGGGATCTTTCCAGAAAGAAGGCAAGTGCCATGCTCTCGTCTTTCAGGGCTGGGCCCAAGCCCACCTTCCCCCACCTCGTGTTAACACCATGAGAACAATGTCAGAGACGATAATAAGTCCAAGATTTTTACCAAGCCAATAAACAGCCTTTAGGTCACAGATGCATAAGCAACACGAGCAAGGCAGCCAAGACATGGAATAGTATAGCGGTAGTGAGGGCTCCCCCACGACTCCCCAAATATCCCTCCCCTATTGCCCAACTAGTGCCTTAAACTTCATTTGGAAATTCATCTTTTGGACCTCAAGGGATCCTTGTTAAATAGTGTAAGCTTATCAAATCTTTTCCTGAGAGCAAAATTTAAGAGGGAAAGTTAGAAAGAGAACATTATTACAGTGAGCATTTGGGGTCCGAGAAACAAGGGGAAAAAAAGGGATAAAGGTGGGACGAGGGGAAGACAAATTATACTCCCCAGTTTTGCCTCCTACTGGAAATCATTACCTTGATTCAGTTTGTGGAGGTCAGGTAACCAGCATAATGATATTCTCAGGCCACAGGGACCAGGTTCCCCCCAGAACCTGGCCTAGGGCCAGCAACAGGAGACAACAATCCACAGGCTGCAGGGTCCCACCGGAGTCTCGTTGGTCTCTGGGCCAATCGGCAGGAAGGGGAAACCACCAGCCTGGGAGATCAGCCACCCGCACCCCGGCAGTCAGTGAGAGCCCTGGCCGCCGGATGGCCTTCACATGTGGACGCCAGGCGGGTTGGGCATCCCTCACCTCCCCACCCATCGCTGTCTGGGCTCGGCCATCTCCTTTAACATCCAATTGGATGCATAACTCAAGTAGCATAACCACTAAACCGTTTTACCAAAAAAAAATGGATTTATAGGAATTTTGCACTTCAAACAAGCAGAATTGTCGTTATCTTTGCAAAGACTTGGTAGGTCCTATTGTATACTTTTTTTAAAAGATAAAATCATTGCAATGATTGACAAAATTCCTGTTTTCCAGCTCGCTAAACTGAGATATAAGAAAGTTACCAAAAATAAAATAAAATGTTAAGAGTTACCAAGATCACGAAGTTTATCCTACACGAACCCACTGTTAATCCTCCGCCCTAAGGACCCCTTCCCACCGAGTTCCTGCTTCCCTGGCCTTCTCCCCGCACTGGAGTGGTGCTGAATGTCAAGAGCAGACCAGAGTCCCCTCTGCCCTCAAGGAAACGCAGGCTAAAATTACCTCTAGTCCAGTTTTATGTTGTGCCTTCAAAAAATTGTCATTTTTCGTTTTCTAAATACAACAGTACAAAGGGACAGAGAGTACATAACTTCTACCTCCTGCCGTCTGGTCCCCATGTCACTTTCATAAAAGAACTGATTTAAAATCATATTTCATCATCTATGGAGGAACTATTTTTTTATTTCAAGGGGAAGCCCAGAGCCCTAAAAACTCAGGATCTAACTAGCAAGTCTATATTCACTCTACTCCAAGCTTCATTATTTTGTGGACTTGGTGCCTTTGTCCTACCGGACCAAAAAGTTTTCTTCATAACTAAACAAATGAGAAAGGCATTGCTCCTGGTGGTTCACAGAAGGCCCCTGAGGGACCTTAAAATCCCAGCCTCAGGCAACTTAAACCTCCTGTTTTTACAATCAGGTCGGTGACAGGTTTGCTAAAACAGGGCATTAGCAATCATGCATGTGGTAACTAAATCCCTATTTAGAGCAAATGCAGTGGTCACACTAGGAAGGCTTGGTGACTGGCATCACCACCTCAGTTAACCATTAGCTGCCTTCGGGCTGAGCGGGTCCTGACTGCCCAGACTCATCTCCTCCAATCCTCTGACCCTGTTCTCTCTGTTAAACTCTGGGTCCATCATTCACACAGAACGGTGAGCAAGAACTTGGGCTTTGAAGGTAGGCCAACTTCAACTGAAATTCTGGTTCCGTCGATAACTAGCTATGGGACCTTCCACCGTGTCACTTGAGCTCAGTAAGCCTCCGTTTTCTTAATTGCAAAATGAGAATAATAAAAATGACTCTTTTCATTGGGTTTTTAAGAAGGTTCCATTTTTGAAAAGCACTGAGTGCAATGCCTTTCAGCAGGATCAGCTACATGGTCTGTGGGACCCAGTGCAAAAGGGAAAGTTGTTCAGAAACTCAAGGATTGCAAGACAGTGACGGTGGAACGTCACACCAAGGCGGGGCCCAGTGGGGCTGCGCGGGTGGCAGGCTCTGGAAGCCGGCCCTCCCTTCCAGACAACAAGCACTCAGTAGATGGTAGCCGCTGTCACATCTGTCCACTTTCCTAACTTCCATCGGAGCCTTACCCTCCCTGCAGGCTCTCCCATCCTTCATAACACCCAATCCACTCAACCTAGAAGTTTTACTGGGTCATTCCAAACACAGGCACTGTGTCTCAGAAGATACCAGCACCTACAAGGAAAACAATTGACCCAAACTGGTCATGTCAGACACATTCCCACCTTGGGACCTTTGCTCTGGTTTTCCATCCTGCTGAACTCACATTTTCCCCTCCTTCAAGCCTTTGTTATTCAGAGCCCCTTGTCTCTAAGGCTTCTTCTGATTACTGAATTCCAGATCATATTTTGCCCTTCCTCCATCTCCCTCGCTTTGTTCTACTTGTACTTTTTCCATAGTACTTATTTTGTCTAACATACCATTTCACTTGCTTATTATGTTTGTCACTTGTTTGTCACACACACACACACACACACACACACACACACACACTGGAATGTAAGCTTCTCAAGGTCAGAAACTGCTGCCTGCTTTTATTCACTGATATATTGCAACTGTTTAGAACAGCGTTTGGCACATAGAAGATATCCAATAAAAGAACATTTGTTCATTAAAAGAACAAATAACCTTTGAATGAATGAATGCACCAGGCCATCCTTTTTCTACCTGGAGGTCAGTCCATTCCACGTTATGGACAAATGGCAGCAATAACCGACTGCAACTGGATACCCAACAGAGCTAAAGAAACAGATGGAGAAGTTATCTATTTGCAAATCTCTGCCAAACTCCCCTTAGTTTAGAAGGAATATAATCCAGTCGTCTGGGCTACTAAATCCAATCGCTCTTTCAACACGAATTCATATACACAGTTTGTTGGCAATGACTTCAGGCAATCGTGAGTGGCATTTTATACGAGTGAGCTCCCCAGAAGAGAGATGCGTCCCTAAGCGGTGAACATAAAGTCATTTGAAAAGTAAAATCAGAAGAAAAACAATCACACATCATTGCTTCATTACAATGACATAGAAAAACTGAACCCTTAATGCCGAAAGGAACGCGAGGCCTCTGTCGCCGAAATGGTGCATGAAGATGTTAGAGCCAGTTCAAGCTGTTCTGCCTGGAGTGAATGTCACAGTCAGAGGTTGCATCTCAAACCCTGGCCTGTGATCTCACAAATGCAAGTGAGGTCCAAGAAAGGAATTGTGGACGCCTCTGTGTAAGTCATCCCCCTAGCTCAACAACAACCCCATAGCTGTGACATTACAGCTGCTGGGTGAGACATTTTTCAGTGTGTTTAAGAACAAAAGAGAAGAGCAGCACTCTGCAAATGGTGAAAATGCAGCCGGTATCAGGAGAAACATCTGGAGCATCCAATTATCAGAAGATCTTGAGAGCCAACGTGCTCTCAGTTCTGTACTGACGACAGGAAGCACATCTGGGCCCCCAATCCAAATGTGGCCCACGCGGTCTCCTCGGGACAGGCTCAGTGAGCAGAGCCTGGCAGATCACACTACACATCTGGCTTGTGCCCCAGCATGAACTACCATTCCCTCTCAGCCCTGCACTCTGCATTTTTTAAGCAAGCCATTCTCAGCCACCACAAATGCTATGGTGGGAATCACAGAAAGGCCCTCACCCCTTTTCCCAAAATAACGTCAGACAGAGGCAAAGGCCAAAGAGGTGGAGCCCGCAGGCCATTTTGCAAAAGTTTCAAATATCCTGGCACTGACCCCATTAAAAGAATCATTAAGGGGAAACAACCAAGCCTCTCATTTTGTCATTAGTATTGTTCTCTCTCTCTCAATTACGAACTTCTCCGTTTATAAAAAAGAAACAAAGTTCTCACAAAAAGTCATTAATCAGTGCTGCCTGCGGGAAACAAAGTTTCATTTTGCAAATTTAACAGCAAAAAATTAAAATTGAAAATTTCCAAAGAAATGTCTGCTCTGCGACAGCTTAATCCCCAAAAGGGTCTCTGAGGCATAAGGCTGAAGGAGGAACTGGTGAGCTGTCCCACCTTCTCCAAGGACTTTCTGAAGTATGCCACTGCCTCAGACTTTCCACACTCCTCTGCTGATCTTTCCTCTGAAGAGGGAGGAAGCAGAGTTCTTGGCTGTACAGTTAAAGGAGCCAAATAAAGCAACCTTCCTCCTAATGCGAAGAGGCCTTTCCAACACACACACACACACACACACACACACACACACACACACACACACGGGTGTGCTTATTGGCATATTATTAAGTAAAAGAAAAGAGAGAGAGAGAATATGACAGCGAAGAAAAGAAAATGTTACTTTATTTTGTCTAGATTTTTAAAACAATCCCACAAAAATCTAACTGAAACAGAGGCATATTATTCTCAAAACCCCTTACCCTTCTCCCGTTTTACAAGACTGATGGCAATGGGAAATGATATTACAGATGTGGGAGAGCCGCGGGGTGGGGGGAGTATACACTGCTAAAGTAACACCGTGTCATCACTATTCCTGAAAGTTTAAAAGGGCCAGCTGCCCACCTCGATCTATTCCGACAGAACCACCACGCCTCTCCCCAGATCTCTTCATTCTGGGCATGCATCTCCCCCAGCACTTCCATCCCAGCGCCCCGACCCAGCTGTTGCTGATGACAACACGGCCCTTGCAGGTCGCCCCTCCCCGCCCGCCGAGTCTCACCGTGTGATACATGAGAGCCTCGGTGTCCCCGGGCTCTGACAGCTCGCTCAGCTTGCGGTCCCACTGCAGGACGCTCTGCTCCCCGCTCTCCAGCACCTCCATGGTGGTCCGGGCGCGCGGGGCCGAGGATGCGGAGCGCTAGCGGGGAGCGGGCTGAGCCGCCTGGGAGAGCGCGATCCGGCTCCGCGCGCGTGAGTGTGTGTGTGTGTGCGTGTAGCTTATGCACGGAGGAAGGAAAACGTTCTTTCCCCCGCCGGAGAGAACTGCCAGGGGCTCCAGTCCGGTGTCCTCGGAGATCTCAAACCCCCGGGGAGACAGGCTGTCGAGGGATCGGGTCGAAGGCTGGAGGGGTTAAAGCAGGGTGTGCATCCAAAATGAAGGTAGGAGAACAGCTCTCATCCTAAGAAAATCCCTGCTCAGTAAGCCCACTTTCCACTACTGCTCCAAACACAAACTTTGAGACTCCCCAGAGCTCCTCAGCTGGGCTCCGGACCCACCTACGATTCCAGGACCCACCTACGACTCCACCTCCCTCCAGAGCAGTGACCAATCGGATACTCGCCTCGCCCGCTTTACCCAATCAGAAGTCTTTTTCTCCGACCGTCCCGCCCCCGAAGGCAGGGGCCGCGGGAAGTCTAGGCCTAGGCTTTGGAATGTGGGCAGGCAGTGCCTTTGACGTCATTGGGTAACTCCTCCAGTCGGATCACAGGCAGCGGCCTCGGTCTGCAGCAGCGGACCAATGGGTGCTTGAGTCCGGGAGTGATGGCCTGGTGTCGGGGCCAATGAAAATCGGGTTCCTAAGGAGGGACAGCCAATCGAATAACGACAAGAATACATTTTATAAAAGAGGGAGGGTGAGCCCAGGCTCCTCGCGGAGACTCCACAGAAGTTATCGTGGGCATCTAGGGGAAAAGGGAGTTGTTGTGCGGACAGATTTATATTTTGTCCTAACTTATTTCAAGTACATTAGCTCATTTGAGTCAGGGTTTTTAAAAAATGAATTACGTATTATACACAAATATAAAAATTCCCCGTTACGCATGAATTCGTATTAGCACCATTCCAGCAAGTTGTCATTGCTGGTTCTTCACATTTTGGGCCCTTTTTGTTATGCATTTGCTGCTGACATGTTTTTCACGGGATTCACTTCATATATTTTCTCTTTCGTTCACTCAACGACACTGTTGACAAGAGGCAAAGGCTTGCTTTCCCAGGTCCTAGAGCAGTGAGCTAAAGACCTCTCCTTCATAGTTTTTTTGTTGTGTTTTTTCTTTACAATTCTTTTCTTTATTGGTTTTAGAGAGAGAGGAAAGGAGAGACATAGGGGCATAGATGAGAGAGAGAACATCGACTGGCCGCCTTCTGCATGTCCCCCATTGGGGATCGGACCCACAACCTGGGCATGTGCCCTGACGGGGGCTCAAACCGGCGACCTCTTGCTGCCTGGGTCCAGGCTCAACCACTGAGCTACACTGGCCAGGCTCCTTCATAGAGTTTTTAGCTCAGTGGAGGAGTCAGGCAATAAACAAAACAGGTTTTTAAAATAAAGGCACAATACAATTTCAGAAAGTGGTAACTGCTAAGAAGAGAAATAAAAGCCAGGTAAGAGGAAGGAGTAGGTCTCTGCTATGATAGATAGCAGTCAGGGAAGTTCCTTGTGGGAAGGTGAAATCTGAGCAGGGACCTGAATGACATGAGGTCGGGACGGAGCTGGTGTTCTGCTGACTGACAGGAAGGCCAGGGTGGTTGCTGCAGGATGTGACCGGATGTGAGTGATGGGAGAGGAGGCCTGAGAGACCGGCTGGAGCCAGACCACCAGTCCTGCCTAGATTGGAAAAGAGCCTATTCTAAAGCATCTCCCCCAACGTTGTGATTTTTCATTCTCCTTTTAAGAAAACAAAGTCCTTGAATATATAGTGTGCTCATTTGAAATATAAAGGAGCCTTTGCCAATCTCTCTAGAAGTTCCTTACAATGTCACACTCAGGTGTTAGGTGTTACTTTGTCCCCTTGGCAAGTTATGTTATGGTAGATGGGGTCAGTCAAATGTATTAGAACTCTGTTGTTTGTACGCAGCAGTTTATCATGTCAACTATTTTCCTAGCTCCTGGGTCTTTTAAGAACATTTTAATGCTAAAGTGGAAATTCTATCTGATGGTCCTGTACCTTCCTTATACAATATTTTTCTCATTTTTCTTTTTGTTCTTTGTTTTTATTTTACAATCTGCTCCCTCCTTACCCCATCCTTTTTATAGATCATCTTTTCAATTTTTAAAGACCTTCTCTATTTTTTGTAACATAACATGCAACAGGAGCCAGTGAGGTGAGAAACATGTACACCCTCCTTGATATTGGAATATAAACATTTATCTGCCAAACACTTCTGCTTTTGAAGAAGTCGGCTCCGGGTTATGCCCCCTCGTGGTAGGCAGCTTCTAAGATGACACCAATGACCCTGCCTCCTGGTGTTAGAGCTCTGTGTAACACTCACTTTGAGTGTGGGCAGGACCTGGGGACTTCCTTCTACCAAACAGAATATGGCAAAAATGATGGGCTGTCAAAAACAATTCTGGCGCCTATTATCAGACTGAAGGGATCTGTTTGCCTGAGCGCATCAAAGCTCCATACAACACAAAGAGCAGTTTGCAGCCAAGAAAGTGAGGATTTATTAAGAAGATTGGCACTATGCTCAGAGCCACAGGTAGCTCATGCTCAAAGACCTAGCTCCAGGATGGCTTCTAGAGGATGGGTTATATAGGGGGGAAATCATTAATCATGGTGCCCGAGGGACTTAGGGTCATGGTCAGGGTTGTGGTCTTCAATGACCGGTCAGTACTAGAACAGGGAGTAATTGATCATTACATCTAGTCCTGACATCAGCCACGGTGTTGCTTCATCTGGTTTCACAAGGATGCAGTCGGTGGGGTCAATCTGGAGTTGAAACACAGCTGAGCCTAGGTGTTATCTCTAATTTGACTGGAATTCTTTCTCTGTGGTCAAAAGACCTAAGGCTTTGTTTCTAAGACTATTAGATACCGACCAGAACCTCATTGTCCTGAGGGCTTAATGATTAAGCAAGGGGAAAAAAGGTGGGTGAGTCAGGGAACTAGGTGAGGCCAATTAGAGTCAAAGGGGGAAAAAAATCTAAGTAAAAGGCCAAATTAAAGAAACTAAGGTTTCTGAGAGATTGCACTCCTGACTTGCTGGTTCTGTCTTCTTCTCTTTCTTGCTTGCTTTGCGGGGGCTGCCATGCTGTGAGCAACCCCATGGAGAGGCCTCCATAGCAAGGATCTGAGGAAGGTGTCCAGCCAACAGCCAGCAAGGAACTGAGGCCCTCAGTCCAACCACCCAGGTTTGCCTGATTCCTACAAATAACCACGTGAGTGGATGTATGAGCAGATCCTCCCCAGTGGAGTCTTGAGATCACTGCAGGCTTCTAAGTGATCCGGAACCAGAGGACCCCACTAAGCCTCACCCAGAGTTCTAACCTACAAAAACTCAAGATAATAAATGCATGCTGTTTTAAGCCACAAAGTCTTTCCTTCATAAAGTAAGTAATATAATAATTGGTACTCTAAATGTTTAATTAAATGTATCTGTACTCTAATAACAATGCACCCATCCCTGACGGTGAGGTTTTTTAGCCTCCTTTGTTTCATGTATCCTCCTCCCATCACTGTACACAAGACTTCTCTCACTAGCCCATTTCCTAGTCCACATCTTGAGTCAAGAGTTTGTCTCTTTCCCTCTCATTTTTAGGACTTAGCAATTTAGTTAACTCTTTTTCCAGCTTCTCTGGCATCTTTGAAAAAGCAGCAGCACTTGCTCCTCAGACTGCTCTTCTCTTTCTTATAGGTATCTTTTTAATGTTTTTTTTTTCTTTATTGATTTTTAGAGAGAGGAAGGGAGAGGGAGAAGAGATGGAAACATCGGTGAGAGAGAACATCGATTGGCTGCCTCCTGCATGCCCCCCACTGGGGATCGGGCCCACAACCTGGGCATGTGCCCTGACCAGGAATCAAACCAGTGACCTCTTGGTGCATGGGTCGACACTCAACCACTGAGCCACACCGGCCGGGCTTTTTATTTTATTTCTTTGAAATATAATTGACATATAACATATGAGTTTCAGGTATACAACATAATGATGTGGTATTTGTATATACTATGAAATGATCACCACAATGCTGTACATTATACACCCCAGGACTTATTAATTTTATAACTGTAAGTTTCTACCTTTGATGCCCATTTTGCCCACCCCTCACTTCCTGCCTCTCCCTGGCAGCCACCAACCTGTTCTTTGTATCTGAGTCTAGATTTTTTTGTTTTTGTTTTTATGTCTCACATATGAGTAACATCTTACAGTACTTGTCTTTCCTCTGTCTGAATAATTTCACTTAGCCTAATAACCTCAAAATCCATCTATATTGTTGCAAATGGCAAGATTTCCTTCTTTTTGATGACTGAATAATATTCTACTGTTTATATGTACCACATTTTCTGTATCCATTCATCTATCAATGGCCATTTAGGTTGCTTTCGTGTCTTGGCTATTACAAATAATACTTCAGTGAACAAGGGGTCACAGATATCTTTTAAAGTTAGTATTTTCAGCCTGGCCAGTTTGGCTCAGTGGTTGAGCGTCAGCCTGCAGACCAGAGAGTCCCAGGTTTGGTTCCCGCTAGGGGTATGTACCACCAAAAAAAAAAAAGTTAGTATTTTTAGTTCTTTCAGACAAATACCCAAAAGTGGGGTTGCTGGATCATATCGTAGTTCTATTTTAATTTTTTGAGGAAATTCCCATACTGGTTTCCATACTGTACCAATTTACATTCCCACCAACAGTGCACAGGGGTTCCCTTCTCTCCACATCTCAACAACACTTGTTATTTCTTGGCTTTTTGATAACAATCTATCAGATGTGTGGTGATGTTTCATTGTGGTTTTGATTTGCATTTCCCTGATGATTAATAATTTTGACCACCTTTTCATGTACCTGTTGGTCTTCTTCAGAGAAAGATCTGTGCAGATCCTCTGCTCATTTTTTTTTTTTTTCTTCATTGATTTTAGAGAGAGAGGAAGGGAGAGGGAGAGAGAGATAGAAACATCAATGAGAGAGAACATCGATTGGCCGCCTCCTACATGCCCCCACTGGGGATCGGGCCCACAACTTGGGCATGTGCCCTGACTGGGAATTGAACCAGCGACCTCTTAGTGCATGGGTCAACACTCAACCACTGAGCTACATCAACCAGGCCCTCTGCCCATTTTTTAAATCATATCCTTGCGGCGGGGAGGGGTTGGCTATTGAATTGTATGAGTTCTTTGTATATTTTGGATATTAACCCCTTACCAGATATATGATTTGCAAATAGGTCCTGGGTGGTACCACTCCATCTGAAGCCAAGAAAACGTGTCTCTGTCTCTAGATTTCTGAGAGAAGGGATTATGAAAGCCTAGAGAGCAGGCT